AGGACGAGCAGAGCCGTCGAGACAGCGGCAGAGGCGAGAAGGAGTCGCTTGCACAGAGCCGGAATGGTGTATTGGGACGGCTCGTCGATGATCATCTCCCAGAAGGAGAACCAATCGGTCAGTGCACATGTGCATTGGGGGCAGAGAGAGAGATGCATCATGATGGCGTGAGAGATAGCAAGGGGCCTGCTGTTGCTTACGTGCCGCGAAGGCGCCCAGAAGGATGAGCATCATATTCTGTCGGAGGAACACTTGCAGTGATAATCGTCTGGGCCCTTGCTTTGACGAAGCATGCGAGATGGAAGGCTGTTTGTCGGCCATGTTTGTGCCAATTGTCTCAACGAGGGCCTTTAATTCCGTGTCTAGTTCTTTCTCTTGGTCTCTCAACTGTTTCAGCTTCGCCTGATGTGCCCTTTCTTCTTGCTCCTGCCGCTCTTCTTTCACGACGAAAGGATCCATTTCGTCTCGTAGTTTGTCATCGTGACGATCCAAGGCATTGAAGTGGGTTAAAAGGGCAGCATAACGTGCCTGATTTGTGTGTCCGCCGTATTTGTAGTAGTATTCCGAATGTTGAGCCCCATTGGCTTTGAGGAGGACGGCGACATCTTTCAGCTCCGGCTGCATCACCTGCACAGAAACAGCACTCAGTCATGCCATGTGTGTAAATCAGTGTGGCATTCATCTCTTCATGCTTATCCCTCCGCTCACCACTTCATCCAAAGGCGCCACGATTAGACCGCCGGCCAGCTGCCGTGTGCCAAGGTTGGGGTCTGCTCCGGCTTCCAACAGCAGCTCCACAGTGTCGAATATCCGAGCGGCTCGCGCGCCATCAGCATCCCACGCCAAGGGGCTGCCGGTCGCTGTCTCGGCCATCACTGCGCGATGAAGCGGCTCGCCGCACGCCATGTTTGGATCTGCGCCATTATCAAGAAGCGTCTTCACAGCCATCAAAGCATCTGCTGCCCCTTCTTGATAACGGACGAGAAAGAAATCGTACATGTGCTGCCTCATGCTTTTCCACCCCGTGTCTCCCTTTCGAATTTGATCGATTCGATCGATGAGCTCGGCGTGTTGGAGTCCCGTGAACTCTGTAATCAGCTGACAACTGATGACTGCCACCGTCAGAATGATGTTGGCAATGGGAAGCAGCTGCAGCTGGTAAGTGGGATAGCAGAGGAAGAGGACATTGCATATCAGACCGAGAAGGCATTCGCAGAGCATGCTGCAAAGACGAGCCCGTGTTGTACCACGACGGACTCTTGGGTCAACGGCGAGGATGGTGCGAAGAGAAGGATAAAGTATGAGGGTTCCTGTCACAGTGGAGAAAAGATAGAGGTGCCACAGCCATGTGGGGACTCTCTCGCTGATGACAGCAATCGTGAAGAAGGTAATCCAGGTGCTGGTTGTGTAGACAAGCTCCGCGATCAGAACATGCAAGAGACCCAATCGGTTGTAGTCGAAGAGGCGAGCCCCTGACATGCGCTCATCGAAGAGGCAACCTAAGCAAGCCATGAATGATCCGTATATAAGACGAAGCAGCATCGGCAGGATGGTAATCCACCACCAGAAGCTCTCAATCCAGCTCCACCCCCAATAGAGACAAAAAGCGTCGATAACCCCACAGGCGCAAAAAGTAAGACCCGATCTAAGAGAAAATCATCCTCTGGTCTCTGCGTTGTGATTTGGGCCAGCTGCTTTTGCATGCGCTCTCGCGAGGCCTCGAAGCCCATGGCCTTGTAGGCTGAGGCGATGGCATTCAGCAGATTCAAGGAGAGATTGCTGATAAGTATTCCCATCGCGTGGCTTCGGGGTTGCCGATGCGCAAAGAATGATCAGGACGTTGATGAAGTCGATGCTGTCGTTGAGGACAGAGATGCCGCTCAGCACCGTGATCAGCCCGCTGAGCAACCGAGGCGGGTCGGGCCGGTGAAAGCGGGCGATGATGGGCGCCGTGGCAGACGGCCCCCGCGGGGTCGCTGCCTGAGAGTCCACGCCTGAGTCGATGAGACGGGAGCGTTCGCCTAATTCGATGTCGCCCGATTGTCCCTTCTTGCGCTGCACCTGAGCGACCGCAAGGCACCAAAGACGTCAGCAAATTGCTCACACAATGATGTCCCCACTGCCTACCAGTGTGGCATTCATTTGGACGTACTCCAGGCACCATTTGAGGACGAGCAGAGCCGTCGAGACAGCGGCAGAGGCGAGAAGGAGTCGCTTGCACAGAGCCGGAATGGTGTATTG